CTTGACTCCAGCACCTCAAGTCGTGATATGGGACTGTTTTCAGTGGGAAGACCAAGATGAAAAGGGACCCTTCAGGGCCTGTACGTTAAGGCCACACTTGAGCTTGAGCCTGCAGGTGGCCTGGCTTGCACAGCACCTTTCTGCTGAGCTCCTGTCTTGGTGGGAGTCAGAGACCCCGATCCTTGGAGCTTCTCATGGGCCACTTTTCAACACTTCTGGGCAGGACTCTCCATCCAAAGAATTAGCATGCGTGGTCCTGCTGGGGGGGGGGAGGGGGGTGGTCCAGGCTTCCATGCTCTGACTGCTTCCTTATTACAAAGTAAGACGGATGTCAAGATAGACAGGCAGATCCGTGGAACAGAATCGAGAGTGGAGAAATAGCCTCCCACTTGCACGGACCATTTCTTTTTGACAAAGACACCGAAGAAATTCAGCGTGGGAAAGTATGACCTTCAGTGAAAGGTGCTGGACAAAACGGACCACCCTCTGCTAAAAGCAGACCCTCAATCCTTCCTTCACATGGCATAAAAATGGGTTCAATGGGAAATTGTACTCCACGTACGTATAACACGTCAAAATACACTCTACTGTCATGTCTATCTAACTAGAACAAACAAAAAAAGAAATGAAAATGGATCCAAAATAGATTATAAATACAAATGAAAGTGCTAAAACTAGGAAATGGTTAGAAGGAAACAGGAGAAAATCTTACCACCTTAATGTTGGTGCTATTTGTGGAAATCAATAGGTAAAGTGCAAATCATAATAGAAACAATATATTCACCGAACCTCATAAAAAATTAAATTTTGACTTTCAAAAGACACTTAGGAAAATGAAAAGAAAAGCCACAGACTGAGGAAACATTTGCAAAATATTTATATGGCAAAGGGCTTATATCTAGAACTGATTAAAAATTATTTCAAGGGCTGGGTTATGGCTCAGAGGTAGAGCACCCACCTAGCATGCATGGGGCACTGGGTTCGATTCTCAGCACCACATAAAAATAAAATAAAGATGTGTCCACCAAAAACTAAAAAAAATAAATAAATAAATATTAAAAAATTCTCTCCCTCTCTAAAAAAAATAAAAATAAAAAAATTAATAAAATAAAATAGAGATATTGTGTCCACCTATAACTAAAAAAATAAATATTCTTAAAAATTATTTAAAGAAGACAAACAACATAATGTTTTAAATTGGCAAAATATCTGAATAGACTTTTTACAAGAGAATCTACAGGGCTGGCAAACAACACAAGAAAGGAGGTTCAACATCCTTAGTCATCAGGAAAATACAAGTCTCGAGACACCAGCCGACACCCACCAGGGACACGACTTATAAGGCTGACTGTGCGGAAGACCCAGAAACAACAGGGACCCTTGCTCACAGCTGGCGGGCGTGGAGAATGATCAGACCTCTCTGAAGAGCATTTTGCTAGTTTTCTAAATATTAAAAATGCCGTGTGACTCAACCATTCCTATGTGGTTATTTACACCCCCCACATACAAAAGTGAAGGCACAGATTCACACAAAGAATTGAGCCCAAATGTTCATGAGAGCTTTATTTGTTGCCAAAAACTGAAAACAACCCAAATGTCCCCAGGAGGGGACAGGATGAACAAATTGCCATTTAACCATACAGTGGGGTGCCACCCAGAAAGTAGCAGGGAGGAATGATTGACACTCAGAACCGCAGGATTGAACCTCAAAATGACTGTGATGAATAAAACAAACAAACAAAAAGTATACATTGTATGTCTCCAGTTACAGAAAATTCTGGAAAGCGTAACTAGTCTACACAGA